TGTCTGGACCCAACAAGCTTATCCTATTGTCAGTTTGTTAATAAGATCTAGAGCTTCATCTCTTCAGTTCTATTTGCCTCAGTACCTCTGGGTTCCCTCCTAAAAATGATCAGAAGCGTCTTTATGTAGAAGCATCTTTAACAGATATATACATATTGTGTAATCAGAGATTTATTTAGCATTTCCACAAACCTGTTATACTTTTTTAACACTTCCTCATTGATTGGTGTGAACATCCTTAGGGTATATGGTTGTGATTGTGGCATGCTGGCACAAGTATGCCAAAACTGATGGGTATTGGCTTTAATGTTAGCAGGGAATGGTAATCTGATCTACAGCTTTTGTAAGTGTACTGTGAAAGCCTGATATCTGTTGACCTATTTAGCGATGGCCGTAGTACATGGGAGATTGCTGTTCAGAATATAAAAGGAGCAAATGGTGAAGAGCATAAATTGATGAATGAAATGAAAAAAAGAAACCACAAGAAAGGGGCAGGGTGTAATAGATCTGAATGGAGGTTGTCTGATCTTGTGTGTGGAATCGATGACTAAATGCAGGGAAGTGAAGGTATAGGTTTCTTTACGAATGAAAAGTCGAAATGGGCTGAAAAGTGTGACTTGGTGTCATGTAGGTTGTTATGGTTACACATGGAAATAGGAATCAATAGGGTGGTAAATGTTGCATGTTATACTCCAATGTATAGTGATAATGGAAAGACTAAAATGTGTCTGGAAAAAAATGTGCATTATTCTGAATGAATGCAATTGGGGAAAAAAATATTGTACTGGGTGACATGAACAGATGGATGGAAATAGACAAGAGGATACAGAAAGAGTTATTGGGCCATTCTGACACCCAAGAATGAAAGAGAGTGGTGATTGTTTAGTGAGTACTTGCTTAGAAAAATCTCTGCCTGGGGCGCTAAATTTTGGGTGGTCCAAAATTGAAAAGATGTCAAAAGTACACAATATGAGTATAAATTCTGATAATCTTTCCTTGTTTGCTTTAGAACTTGTTCTTTCTACACTTTTCAAAAACTCTTACCCACAAAGTTGGTTGAGTGATAGTGAAGAGCACACTAACCAGATGTTCAATTCTTGAAAAATAGAATGTTATTACAGCTATGGACCTCAAGAAACTGATATTACCAAAGCAAGACAAAGGTCTGATAGGAAAGTACTTAGTGAGCGAGTTGTGTGACTATCAGCTTATCGAAGTTATATCTGGAAAAGCAGAAACGGCGCACTCCGTGCACCAGCACACCCGCTTGAGGATTAAGTCCTGTATAATCACAGGGGGCGCCAGAATATGACTTTGCCTAGAGCGCCAAAATGTCTAGAGCCAGCCCTGCTATAATGCTATAACCAAGTAAAAATTGATGAAAAAGGAAGTTGTAAATGCTTTGAGAATGTTGAAAAATGGCAAGGCTGCATCTGTAGATGTGTAAATGGAGGAATATTAAAATATGGGTGTGGTTTGCCTATGGAGTGGCTATGTGACTTGTTTAACATGTATCTCTGTGTGTCAATTGGAAGAATACTACCCCTCTCTACCAAATGAAAGGTAGCAAGCATGAATGCAAAAACTACAGAGGTATTATTTTCTTAAATGTGCCTGGAAAAATGCTTGGCAAAATTCTAGTCGGAATGATACATGAGGTGATAATGAGCAACATTTGGGAAGTGCATTGTGGCTTTTTTTCCCACTGCACTGAGAAATGTATGAATGCAGGAAAGAAGTTTTCTTGAACATTGTTGTATTTGGAGAATGTATGTAATAAAGTGAATAGGCTTGAATTATGGAATGTTTTCTGTGAATATGGAGTTGAAGATTAATTGCCAAATGCAGTAAATGTAGTATGTGATGGACATAGAGAATACATGAGAATAAATGGAATGCTTAGTTAATGGTTCAGCACTGAGCAAAGGAGTAAGACAAGAACGTTTGATGTCCCTTTGGTTGTTTAATGCATTTATGGAGAAAATGTATAAGTAATACTTACGGTGAGCATGTGTTGGTTGGAGACTGAATATATATACAGGTAGTCCTCATTTAGCAACTGTCTTGTTTAGCAACTGTTCGCAGTTACAACAGTGATGAAGAAGTAACTTTACAACCAATCCTCGCATTTATGACCTTTCCTAAAGCAAAGGAAAGCTGAAGTAAGATCATAAGCACAGTTGTGGTTTCACTTAGTGACAGCTTCATTTAATGACCGAGTTGTCGATCCCAATCATGGTTGCTAAACGAGGATTACCTGTATACTTTTGTATGCAGACAGTGCCATATTATTATCTGAGAACTTGAAGATTTTAAGCAAATGTTAGATTGTATGATGCAATGAAGGGTATGGATCTGAAAATTAATGTATTAAAAGACCAGCCTAGTTGTGTTGGGCAGGGAAAATTGAATGATTGCAAGTTACACATAAATGGTGAAGAACTAGAGCAAGTTATGAATTTGTGTACTTTGGTAGAAAATTTACAAAGCTGGGCAAATGGATGAAAATTTTCAAGGTGGGCAAAAGCTGATAGAAAGATAATGGGTAGTCTGTTGCAAGAAATCAATGTTGAAAGAAGTGACAATGACTGTGTATAAGAGTGTGCTTCTCTTCACTTTGTCATATTCAATAATTTGAATGCAATGAAAGTGGGGTACTTAAGAAGTATGTGTGGTAGAACAAGAAGAGATAGGATCAAGAATATATGAGTGCTGAATGGATTGAATACAGAAGTGAGTGACCAGTACGAAGAAAGTATATTAAGGTGGTGTGAATAAGGATTGTATTGCAAAACCAAAATACAAAGAAGAGTAAATGGATTGAGAAAAGGAAGATTGAGAAAGTTATTGCTGGATGGAGTTGATGAGATCCTCAGAAACTGGGAGATGAGAAATTTAAACTACAAAAAGCAATGAATGAAGCAGGGTATGGATGTGGTGGAACCAAGGACGATTGGCAAGGACAGAAAAATATGGTATAAAGAGGAAGCAAATGGTATTGGTGGTGTAAAGTTAGCTATGTTCCTTTGTTTTTCTGATCTCATGCCTTTAGTTTACTTACTATTTTTTTATTCCTTTTTTGCATTTTGCATAATATTGTTTACCCCAATAATGAATAACATGGATATTTTACATATGTATCTATATATGTAATGTTGACATTATTGTTATAGATACATTTCCTTAAAAGCCTGGTTTGCATCCTTTATTTATTTGTTTGTCACTAAAGAAGTTTGGGTTCCTTTTTGGTCTTCTCTTTTGGGTAGAATTTCCATTTTCTCCAAAAACTAACTATATATTGCTATGACTTTACTCATGTGTACTATACCTGTAGATAATTACTCAAATGAGAATCATGAAGTTTGTAGAGCCTTTATATCAGATTGAGTGATTCCACTAATAAAAACTGAGAGCAAGGATTGGCAAGAAGAGAGACTTCTTGTTTTTTTTTTTCCTGCTGGCAAATGGCCAATACTGGATTTTGGAATTCCACATACTTCGTATATGATACAGAAATGCTTTGGACCTTGTGTGAGGTTGCCCTTTCCTTTGCCCATTAAAGCATGTGAGAGCCTGAAAAACTTCCACTGCTTTAAGAGTTACATTTAAAATGCACTATATTAATTGACTTATTCAAGCAGTGGAAGCCTGAAAAAGATGGATGTACTTTAATGAATAGTAGAGAGATGCTGTGCTTACTTTTTTCATAATCGCTTTAGTATCATACAATATGAGATTTAGTATACCTCTTGGATATATTCCTTACAATGTATGACAATACAATCCAGAACAAGCTTGTGGAGTTCTTTCAGTTATCAGTCCAGTCGAACTGAGCGCAGACCCTGTTGATATTAAAGCACTTAACGCTATTTAATTTTTACTGGATTATACTGCTGGTGCATTCAGCTTAAATCATAATTTAAATTAGATGTAATATGTGCTATAATGCACTAAGGGTTTTTGGCTGGTGCTGATGAAGCCTCTGGCTATGATTGACTGGGCTGCCCTAATGTCACAAAGATGCTGCAGGACAGAAAAAATGGTCTCCAGCAGCTACTGGCTCAGTTACTTAGGTTACAGTAAATGACAAGGGAAATAGGAGGTAAATTGCTGATAGAAGTAATAGAACTTTAGGAAATGCAAAGAAGGAAGGAAATGAAAAGTAGGAAGCAGGCCAATTGGGGATAGGAGAGAATAGTTTTGAGGGAAAGAAATGAGGATAAGGAAGGAAGATCAAAGGAAATGTAGGGAAGAAAACTGGGAGATAAAAGAGGGGCAATGCACATTGTCAAGAGCTGAAGGGCTGAAGAAGTCTGACAATAAGAGCAGTATACAAGCAGTCCCTGAGTTGACGCCTAGGTTACAGACGACCCATAGATAAGATTGGAGCCTACTATAGCAAAATTTGAGTTAAATACACAAAGATTCGAGTTCATTATACAACAATACAGTTCCAGCTTACATACAAATACGACTTAAGGACAGGCCTTGGGAACGGAACTCATTCTTAAACTGAGGGCTACCTGTACAATTGTTGCCCATGAACAAAGCCTCTAATGTGTCTTAAAGCCCCTTTATTTCCCCTCTCCCTTCCCAACTTTGCATCCTGCCTTTCTTGGTATTTGGCATCAAAGAATGGATAGACTCTGAGCCACGTTTAGTGGGGCAATAATGCAGAATGTATGGGAGAATGTTAACAGGTAGGTTTTCGTGCGCGCACACACACACACACACTTCCTTGATTTGTACAATTGCTTGGACAAGTTTCTTTGTTTTTAACGATACAATATTACTATTTCAGGCAATAAAGTGGTGATAAATAAATAAATAATAAGTAAATAAAGCCTCTTCAAAATGCTAGAAAACCATAGTAACAGTGTTTGGCAATTGTAGTCAGGAAGGGTCATGAGGCCACAAAAAGAGGTTTGGGGACTTTGTGGGACCTAGGGGCTAGGAATTATCCATCTCTGCATTCAAGATTCTGAACTTTTGTTGCACAGATCATACTATGGATCGGTCTGGGAGTATTAATTATCAGCACCTACACAACTTTATCAGCAACTCAAGAGATACCAGCAAAAATGGAAGCTGTGAAACCAGACAATCTGCCTGGAGAAATAAATAAAGGACAGGACTCTGCTAAAATTTCAGGTATGTGACATGTTCTTGGTATACTGTGCTGCAAAATGCTGAATAAATCCCATTAAATATAGTTGTACTCCAATCCATGTCATAGGATTGCATCTCTGAAACAGTAAAAACAATGTTTTTTAGGAAAGAGAATGTAATGGCTGTCATCTCATTTTTTTTCCTCAGGATTGTTTTTTAAAATTAACAAGCTGGGACATTCTTTTTCTTGGGTGGGAAATTTTTAGTAGCACAGGTAGCACGTTATATTACCTTCAGCAAAGTGTTAGGACCTGTAAGAGTGCCTGTCATCAAAAAAATCTCTATGATGTCTACAGAGAACACTATTCAGGCCCCTGTATAAAGGATGCTGCCAGGTCAAACCATGCTATTTCTACTTCTTTACAGTTTAGTGTCGTGGTTAAGGCACCAGGCTAGAAACTGGGAGACCACAAGTTCAAGTTCCACCTTAGGCATGAAGCAGCTAGGTGACCTTGGGCCAGTCACTCTCTCTCAGCCCTACGAAGGAGGCAAGGGCAAACCACTTCTGAAGTCTTGCCAAGTAAACTGCAGGGACTTGTCCAGGCAGTTACCAATAGTCAAGACTGACTTGAAGGCACAAAAATAAATAAATAAAGCTGGTGATATAATTTTTAAGGTTTCAGCCATGATTAATTCAGCATATTCAAAGGTTTGTGTAAATTGTTGGAAAGCTTTTCCCCTCCCCTCCCCTCCCCTCCCCTCCCGTTTGTTGTATAACAATGCAATTGGTATATTTGAAATATACCTATTGAAAATAAATAAAGATTTGGCTTTATTTAAACAAACAAATATACAAAAGCTTCCCCAAATATATGGGGAAATATGGCAAATAAAATATCAAATATCTTCTGGGCTGTACACTCATAGCAGTTTGATATTTTCAGGTTGATAAACTAATAAGCCAATTGTTAATTATGTGCAAGTGAAGTATACAAATATATAATATTCTAGATCATGCTCTGTTTATGGTGTGGCCTTCAGGCCTGAATTTTTGATTCATTTTTGAATTAAGCAGTCTTGATGCTTTGGAGAAAGGCAAATCTTACTTATTCTTTTGGAGAGGGAACTATGTAACTATCCTGCTGCCACATTTATATACCGATATGCATTTTAGTCCCAAAATCTTGTTTATCAGTTTTATTTCTAGACCATCACCAGCTAACAATTAGGACAAGCTTTTTCAGTTTTGAAGATCAAACAGTATTCAAAGTAAAACTGAAAAAATATTTGAATCTCTCTGACATTACTAATGCCATGCATACATGTTTTTCAGGCCAACTAAAACACAGGAGCTCACATGAGTCAGTGTAGATTTTGTACTATTTAATTGATAATTCAGGATCATGGATAAATTCATTCAGTTGTTTAGATTAGCAGGGTGAATCAGAGCTTGGTGAAAAATACTCAGGGGGCTAGACATATGCTACAAATTAAGGAACATGATGCTTCTGAGCACATGCTTAGCTAAGGCATTTTGTGATCTAGAAGAACCAAGCCTAGAATTTCTTTCCTCTCCTGGTTTTCTCTCAAACATTCTTTTTCAGTAGTGTAATTTTAAGGGGAAAATATTTTTGAACTGTTGCTATTCTTAGATGTTTGAGTGTTGGGAACCGTTGCCAAACTATTGCAAATCATCTAGAGATCTATAAATATACCTTATTCAATCTTACATCCACTCCAGGTTTAGATATATAGCCCCACTTCAAAATGCCAGTCAAGTAAAAGTAGGAAAAAATATGTGAAACAGAATTGGATTATTGCACAATATTTTTTCCCCCAGCTTTTCTGGAATTCTATTTAAGTAGATCTCAGAATGCTTCCTGATGATGCTGTGGCTTAGTAAGATGAAGTGCTATAACAGGTGGGCAATAACCAAACATATGTCTCTCTGCTTTTACTCAGGCAGTCTGACAGCCACAGAAGATAACATTACAGCGGATCTTTGGTGAAACTTGGAGATCATTAGGGACACACAAAGGCAGAAGACTGGTTTAAGTCCAGTATAGCTTAGAGAACTAGTGCAGAGTGCAGAATATTGCTTTAATGTACTTTGGTATTCTGTCCCTAGTAGAAGGTGGATATATTTACCATATCCCAGCTTTTGAGGTAGTCAAGGCATGGAAGAAATCGTTCTGATGGGAAAGATTGCGGCCTTTTTGCAAGTGGGATCAATGGGCTGTATCCCGGCCATTGCAGTTGAAAGCACAACTCTGTTTAAGCCATGCAGATGAGAGCACAATCCATTGAAGCCCTCAGCTAGGCATGAAAGAGGAAATGGCCCCAAGGAACACAAACAAAGCAGTGAAATCTGCTCTCGAGGCACTCTGGAAGGGGCATCATCCCACAAGAGTGGAAGAGCTGCTTGTTGTGGTGCCAGGGCCTGCCATCTTTCTTTCACGCCTTATAAGGTTATCTTTTAAGGAGCGGTTCTGTGCTAATGCACAATCTTCCCTCTCTCTGTTGGGAATTATTTTGCAAAAAGAACCTGCTTCCCAAGGAGCTGCATTCTGTCATTCAAAACTTGTATGGGGCTTCTGGGTTACTTGGCTGTCACCAGCACCCCCTCTTTCAGCCCACATCTGTTTCTTGTTTCTTGCACGAGTCTCTTGCGGAAACACATGGCTTTCCTCCTCAGGCAGCATGCAGGGACTTTCTTAAAACATGTTTCTGAATTTGCCGTGCTCCCCCCAACCACCAGCAACTTTAATTCATGTTTAGCTTGTTAAGGCAATCCTCACCACTACATTGTGCCTTTCCCATTTCTGCCTTTCCCATATATCTCTAGCCCGTCAGCATATGCTAGGGTTTTTTGTTTTTGTTTTAAATTGTGGCTTTTGAGGATGCAGAGCCCAGAATTGTGCAGACTTTCATTAAAACTCTGCCCCATGGGTTTGGAGATTATGAGTATTAGAATGCTGCCCTTTTATGTGAACACATATTGACCAGCAAACTTTGAATCATGTTTTTACTAACGGCCCCCAAGTGCCCATTACACCCCCTTCTGTATTGATAGGTGTTTACTGTCAGCCACTGTTTGGGAAGGTATAAAACTCCTTCCAGAGAAAGTCTGCTATTACAGGGCATGCGGATGTTAAGAGGTTGCTAAGCTGCCTTTGAAAGCACATGAAGGCAATTATCCATTTTTTAAAAAAATCTAATTAAGCAATTTCTTTTTTGCTTTTGAAAGATACCATCCCCTCCCCCAGAGGGTCTCCCTGGGTGGATTAAGGTTTTTTAATATTTTGCAGCTCTTTGCTTTAAAATCGTTGCTTAGAGCCCTCTCTCTGCTCTATCCCTTAGTGGTTTTCCATATCAAAGGTCTGGTTCACTGTCTCTCTACCTTTTTCCCAGCTATTCCAGAAATGGCTTAGAAAACAAGTTGGCCATTGTGTTTCACTGTTGTCATTTTTTAAATCTATCCATTCAGATTTACCATTTTTGCCTCTGATGAGATGTGGCTGCATCTTGGTGTCTGGTGTGCACTGCCAGTCTGTTCCACTTACAGTCATCATGTGCAAAAGCTCACAGTTCTGACATCTCTGTTACGGACAAGGGATTTAGAGAAAAATGTAGGGAGGCCGTGTGAGCTTCAGAGGTTGCACCTGTAACAGACATGTTGGATGTACTTGCTTTGTCATTCCTGTCTCGCTCTGCCCTCTCCTCCTCCTCTCCCTCCCACCCCCCGCCCCCAGCTTGTTGGCTATTCAGAGAAGAAACTGAAGCTCCATGTGAAACATGGATTACCCCCATTCCTCCCTTAGCTTCTAATAGCTGCTGGAACAGCTTGGCTTGTTGGAGCACTCCCTGGTGCTTTGGGAGAACAATCTTTTAATAGCTCCTATGACACAGAAAAAGAAGCTATTGCCCTGCTGTCATTTTTTGTTCAGTTTTACAGTCTGCATGTCAGGAGAAAACAGTGAACTAGTTTCCCTGATGCCATTCAGTAACCTTGTAAAAGTGTTAATAGTTACCGTTTACAGATGTTCTCAGGGGAAGTGGGTTCCCTGCTTCTTATTGGGCAAACCTTATCTACTGCCCCCTTTTCCCGTAGTCTGTTCTTGGATTTGGGCCCAGACTATGTACCCACACAGAATCAAGGATATGGGTCAACTAAACATCCTATATGATGACTTTTCTGCACACATTAGGGAAGAACTATGAACATTTTTTTCTCTTTAAAATGCATGCCACATGACTGCCTCATTCCAGAAGCTGAGCAGTGGTCTTCTGCCTAAACCTGTTCCCATTTGGAAGTAGAGGTAACAGATGATGTAGTACCTATGGATTTTCTGAGTTCTTATGGATTTCTCTTGTCAGTGGCAAGAGATTTGTGTTGGTGATCATGTCAAGACCCATGTTTTTTAGATACTGTGTGGTATATTAATTCAGAAGCCTGCAGTAACATCAGATGAATTAATTCCTTCTCTCTCCAAATAATTATGCTATTATCTTCATGTCCTTAGCTGCAACTGTATTTATTGCCTAACAGCACAGGTGATTACCATTTGGCATTGTGGAGGCTGCTGAAATTTTACTTTGTTTCTTTACTAAATGTCAACAGTCTCATATTTGTGCATTCCCACAAGAAAATATTCTGCTACCTTAAAATAATCCATTCTCTTTAAATTGTTGGATTTTTCTCTTTCATAGTTTTCAGAAGCATGGAAAGAGTAATGAAACAGGGTATATAATATTGATTTAGATCAATGTTTCCCAACTTGATGCCATCCAGATATGTCAGGTTATCTATCCTAGAATTCTGTGGCCATCTGCTTGCTGGGATTTCTAGGAATTGTAGTCTGGTCTGGAGCATAAGCAGAGTTTGTGTTTTTGCATTTACCTTAAGAATGATAACATACAAGTGATACCTTTACCCTTAAAGTCTTAAAAGATTGTCTCCACTAATATTTCAGGTGAACTTTAATCTTGTTCTTTTTTTTGTAATACTGATTCCACTAAGGACATATCACATTGCAATGGAT